CTCTTTCTCCTGGTGATCGACTGGATCATGAAGACATCAACATCTGAAGGGAAGCACGGGATACAGTGGATATCTAGGATGCAATTGGATGATCTAGACTTCGCAGATGATCTGGCTCTTCTATCGCATACGCAACAACAAATGCAGGAAAAGACAACCAGTGTAGCTGCAGCCTCAGCAGCAATAGGTCTCAATATACACAAAGGGAAAAGCAAGATTCTTCGATACAACACAGCATGCACCAATCCAATCACAATTGACGGAGAAGCTTTGGAAGATGTAAAAACCTTTACATATTTGGGCAGTATCATCGATGAACACGGTGGATCTGATGCAGATGTGAAGGCACGGATTGGCAAAGCAAGAGCAGCATATTTACAACTGAAGAATATCTGGGACTCAAAACAATTAGCAACCAACACCAAAGTCAAAATTTTCAATACAAATGTCAAGACAGTTCTACTGTATGGGGCGGAAACCTGGAAAACTACGAAATCCATCGTCCAAAAGATACAAGTGTTTATTAACAGTTGTCTACGCAAAATACTTCGGATCCGTTGGCCGGACACTATTAGCAACAACCTACTGTGGGAGAGAACAAATCAGATCCCAGTGGAGGAAGAAATCAGGAAGAAGCGCTGGAAGTGGATAGGACACACATTGAGGAAAGCACCGAACTGCGTCACAAGACAAGCCCTCATATGGAATCCTCAAGGTCGAAGGAGGAGAGGAAGACCAAAGAATACATTACGCCGAGAAATGGAGATAGATATGAGAAAAATGAACAAGAATTGGATGGAACTTGAAAAGAAGGCCCAGGACAGAGTGGGTTGGAGAATGCTGGTCGGCGGCCTATGCTCCATTGGGAGTAACAGGCGTAAGTAATGTTGTATTTGAGAAACTTGATTTTCTCCTTGTGTATGTTGGAAAGGATTGTCCAGGATAGAGTTGAATGGGGAATATTGATGTGTGTCCTACCACCACCATATATATACACTTGTATAATTTAAAGTAATACATATTTCTTGTTGATTATTAGTCTAAATACTCAACAGATTCGTTATAAGTGAAGTTAAATGAAAATTTCTCTTAATAAGTGAGTGAGGCAGAGTGTACAGTAAAAGATTTACATTAAACAGTAAAGAGTAAAAGTTCATTATATCTACTGACAAGATCCATTGAATTAATAATTATGATAACCATGATGTGCAGTAAGGGATATGAAAATCAACTTGATACGTTGCTTTGGCTCTGATCAGTCTGATTTCTTCAAGTTCACTACGTTTTATAGAAGATGAAAAGTTCTATACCTTAAGGTATACTATTCAAAATTTCTTTTACAACTGGAAAAAGTTTCTATGTTCTAACTTAATCAAATGAAATGGAATAAAATTATTTATACATTCAATAACATCATTTTCTAAGAACCTTAATCAATAATATTTTCTCTTCCATTATCATATTGAAGTATGAACTTAGTTTCTAGTATCTTTTAGCAATTTTTATCAGAATGTTCTAACATTTTATTCATAATGCTTAGTATTTGAGAACACCTATTCCAATATCTACACAATATAAAAGCAGAAATGCATGGTGGCCAGCAGCGTAGTTCAGGACGCGCGTTTAGTCCCATTTGGAACTCGTCAGTATTGATGTACCTGTATTCCGGAGATGATGACCACTCAATGACTGAAACCCAATAAGGATCGCTCCAACCGCCATTGCGTTATCCACTTAGCTATTGAGTTCAGACAGCCATTAGATTATGCGATTGGATGAAGTTTTTAGTTAATTTTTGTATTGGATGTTTGAATGTTCCTATAAATGTTTGAGTCTTGGAATGAACACCAACTCAGGGATGCAGATACATCCACCTGATGGGTCCCAAATAGAATAAAACGAGCGTCCTGGATTCCACTACAAGCTACAATCCATCTCTGCTTATAACGCTTATGTCTTGAGGCAATAAAGGGGCGATCCGCACAGGATGCACATATGCTAATAGGAGACTGATCAATTGTGATCATAAACACCTATGGAAACATTTAAACAACCATTGCAAAAATAACTTTACACAATTTGTTTGATTTTCAAGTTATGCTACTTAATATTGTAAAGTAGTGTAAAGCACATAGGAAATATTTATCTGTGAGGGAATGGTTATTATACTCTTCGAAGAGATTGTTCGTATTTAAACACCGAAAATCAATTCTAATATTGGCTTTATTGCTTTACAGTATGCGCATCCCCATTCCATAGAAAAATATGTTAGGTTTTGCCCTTAAACGGAAGATATTTTTTGCATCAAGTTCAGTGCCAACAACCTTTCGTGGTCTTACCCACAATTACATACTTAGGCCTGTTACTCCCAATGCAGCATTGGCCACCAGCCGCCATTCTCAAGCTCACTATGTCCTGAGCCCTCCTTTCTATTCAATCATGTCTGTCTCCACTTCTCGGCATAATTTTTTCTTCGCTCTTCCTTTTATCCTTTGGCCTTGAGGATTCCAAATGAGGGCCTGCGTTGTGACGCAGTTGGGCGCTTTCCCCAATGTGTGTCTATTCACTTCCAGCGCTTCTTCCTGATTTCTTCCTCCACCTCGAGCCCCTCCGTGGCTACTTCCGGTCCCAAGCCCGGATAAATGAAGAGGATTGGGCATGGGGTTAGCGACCCCATCCCGTAGAAAACTAACTCGCTATAAAAACGCTAACCAGGAAAAAATTCAAACCTAGAAATACAGCGATGTAAATAATAAGTAACAACCAAGTATGCTATCTTTTCCTTATTTCATCATTAGTATTATTTGTCAGATATAATTCAAACTCAGTTGATTAACTTAAGTTTAGCATAAAACTCAGAACGAAACAAAGTTTGGCATTAAAATCATAAAATCTTTGAAATTAGACATTATCACCATTGGATGCCGGCTTAAGGGTCTAGAGGTTAGATGTTCGCGATCGATATCAAACCGATAGGTCCTGGGTTCGATATGCACTACTGAGGAGTCTCATACTAGGACGTAGACGGCCGTCTAATGCTTCCAAGTTTTCCATGAATTCATCTAATAAATCAAATTGACTTTTAACATCTATCTTTTAGTTTAGTCAGCTAGCTACAACAGATATACTATTTTCATTCAAACAATACAAATATTTGTTATATAACAATTATTAATGCATCATTTTTATTATCTTTTATCTAATCAAATATTAATTAATGAATAATTCAATAACTTCATTCATTAAGTGACCTACAAAACGACCTTATATATTAGATATTTGTATTGATTAATGAATTCTATTTATTGTCTTTTATTCAGTTAAACAAACAATGTTCAAGGTTATAAAATAGCAAATCAAAATTATCCAATTTTAAATAGTAGCCCGATTTCTATTTTTAGCTTAACGAATTATACTATAAATAGTAACCAACGAAAAATAGTATCACACGGTTAAAAATTAGGTTAAATTAGTAAATAATTTGAAGAAGTTCTAGATGGATGATTTTTGTTGTTATTGTTGTTGTTGATAAGATGATAAATAACTATTAATGTTATGAATTATTTATTATGCGTGAATGAATGAATAACTTTGATAAGAGATGAAAATTTTGATTATATTGTGTGGTACTGATGTTGATAGATATAAGTAGTATGTTTCATCTATCAATCGAAAGTCAAATGTCTAGTGGCAAAAGGTGAAGAAGATCGAAGAAAAGAGAATGAGAACAGTGAATGATTAGTGTGAAAACGAAGGAATAGTCAAGTCTGAGATGATTGATTGACATTTTGCAAATGATGTATTTACTGTACAGTTCTTAGATTTTACTAAGAATTTCTGTAATTCTGTGTTCATATATATTTGGTTGTTCTCAGTGGTGTTGTCGTTCACTACAAGATTACTAAACGAATTACGATTAATGTTACACAACTATCTACTTTATTTATTAAGGTGTGATATTAAGTGTTAAGTTAGTCGCGTTGTTACATTAAACATTTTATTTACTTACTTACGCCCCTTACCCCCGAATGGAGCATTGGCCGCCGACCGCCATTCTCCAACCCACTATGTCCTGAGCTCTCCTTTCTATTTCTATCCAATTGTTTTTCATTCTTTTCATGTCTGTGTCTATTTCTCAACGTAACGTGTTCTTTGCTCTTCCTTTTACCCTTTGGTCTTGAGGACTCCAAGTGAGGGTCTGCCTTGTGATGCAGTTTGGTGATTTCCTCAATTTGTGTTCTATTGAAGTGAAGCAGTCGACATTGATGACGAAAAGAACTAAAATGACAAAGGCTATCAATATGTATATATGCAAGAACACGTTAGAAGTCAATTGGAGATGGAATTCATAGACATAGAGGAATGGTTGATCGGTTGTGTCATAATTTTAGCGGTTGTGACAGGTCTGCATAAGATTACTAGGATTAGAAATTGGTAAGATTGATTACGCGATAACTGAACAGGATTTAAAGATGGATAGTGGCTAGTAGTGGAATCCAGGACGCGCGTTTCGTGCTACGTGAAACTCGTCTGCTAAATATACCTGCAATAGTATCAAACGCGCGTCCTGGATTCCACTGCTAGCTACCATCCATCTTCGCTTATAATGCTTGTGACTTAAGGCCACCCGAACAGGATGCACATATGCCAATAAGTGACGGATCAATTGCAGTCCAAAACATCAATGGGAACTTTCAAACAAACATAACAAATGAATTTAGCATTTAAAGAGTTTACATAAGTTAACGGAGTTAAACGAATGAAAACGTATTAATAAAGCGATGGTTTTGGTGTACATAAAATAATAAATAGTTAAGGGAAGATCGCATAACGAAATAAACATTAATGAAATAATTATATTGACGAAAACAACTTACCATGGTGTTGATAAGTTTATTATTTTCTCTTTCTGGATACATAAACCAGGTCTAATTTTTTTATTTCTGTTGATTCGGCAAACGGATAGACGTTACTCTTTTTGTCTGCTAATAATTTTTAAGGCTTGTGGAATGTCAATATTATGCCCAGTGTCAAGTAAATGTCAAGCTATTGCACTGTTTGAAGCCGTTGCGCCTCAGTATCAAGTCCTTTGTAACGTGCTGGAAATATGAAAATGTACTTTTCTCTTTGTTCACCCAAGGTATGTGCTATGGCGCGTACATGTAAATTGGAAAATGCAGTTAGCGGTACAGGGAAGAGAGGACCTGTCAAATTTTGTTTGTTTCAGTGAGCAGTTCGTTTCAAATAACATCGTCAGTCTTACTGATCGATAAGCAACATTCGACGTAGCATTTATCCTATGGCTAATTATTCTAGTAATTTCATCTAATTTGGAGTGCAAATATAAGAAGCAGGTTTTCTAATCCACTGTATCGCATTTAATTCGTAGGTTGGTTTTGTCATACATCCCTATTAATTTCACTGAATATGCATTTTCACATAGACGATTTATAATGTAGACAAGTTGTTCCAGGCTTTCATTCGAGCAAAGTTTACGAAGACGGTCAAAAATAGCTCGCACGATTTCATTTTTCTAACGTATTGGACAGAAATTGTTGTAATTAAGATAAATTACACTACAAATATTTTTGCAGTGGATTTATCTGAAGTTCGTTCGATTCCAATATCTAAGAATTTTATTTGTCTGACAGCGTTATTTAAATTCATAATAACTCACCTATATCTTAAACCTTGTGCAAATTATTCATTGCATTAGAAAACCTACACATTTATGTACCTTACTTAATTGTTAGCTCTTTAGACCCCTTTATAACGAATCACATACATCCCCACACATTTTCTCTTGTTAAAACTAAATACATTTATCGTATATTTCTTGGTCGTTTGATTTGAGCTATGCTTAAAATAAACTGTTGTCATTACTTTGTTTTTTTTACTTACTTACTTACGCCTGTTACTCCTCGTGAAGGAGCATAGGCCGCTCACCAGAATTCTCTATCCAACCCTGTCCTGGGCAATCCTTTCAAGCTCTTTCCAGTTCTTATTCATCTTTTTCATATCTGCTTCTATTTCCCGACGTAATGTGTTCTTTGGTCTTCCTCTTTTCCGCTTCCCTTCAGGATTCCAAGTTAGCGCTTGTCTCGTAATGCAGTTTGATGATTTCCTCAATGTATGTCCTATCCATTTCCATCGTCTTTTCCTAATTTCCTCTTCAGCTGGAAGCTGGTTGGTTCTCTCCCACAAAAGGCTGTTGCTGATGGTATCCGGCCAATGGATGTTGAGTATCATGCGTAGACAGCTATTGATAAATACCTGTACCTTCTTGATGGTGGTTGTTGTAGTTCTCCAAGTTTCAGCTCCGTACAGTAGAACTGCCTTGACGTTCGTATTGAAGATTCTGACTTTGATATTGGTTGAAAGTTGTTTTGAGTTCCATATGTTCTTCAGTTGAAGGAATGCCGCTCTAGCTTTGCCAATCCTCGCCTTGACGTCTGCATCTGAACTCCTTGTTTATCGACGATGCTTCCCAGGTATGTGAAGGATTCCACGTCTTCCAGAGTTTCGCCATCAAGAGGGATTGGATTGCTGTTCTCCGTGTTGTGTTTGAGGACCTTGGTTTTCCCTTTGTGTATGTTGAGGCCTACTGATGCAGAGACTGCTGCTATGCTGGCTGTCTTTATCTGCATTTGTTCGTGTGTATGTGATAGGAGGGCTAGGTCATCTGCGAAGTCCAAGTCGTCTAATTGGTTCTGAGCTGTCCATCGTATGCTGTAGTTTCTCTCAGATGTCGAGGTCTTCATAATCCAGTCGACCACCAGAAGAAACAGGAAGGGAGAGAGTAGACAGCCTTGTCTTACTCCGGTCCTTACTTGGAATGCGTCTGTCAGCTGTCCTCCATGCACTACTTTGCACTGTAGTCCGTCGTATGAGTTCCGGATAATGTTGACAATCTTCTCAGGAACTCCGTAGTGTCGAAGAAGTTTCCATAACGTCCTCCTATCTACACTGTCAAATGCCTTCTCATAATCAATGAAGTTGATGTAGAGTGACGAGTTCCACTCAATTGATTGTTCGACGATGATCCGTAGTGTCGCAATCTGGTCTGTGTACGACCGGTCCTTACGGAATCCAGCTTGTTGATCTCGAAGTTGAGCGTCAACTGCATCTTTCATCCTGTTCAGTAACACTCTGTTGAAGACTTTACCCGGTATTGACAGTAGTGTAATGCCTCTGTAGTTTTCACACTTGCTCAGATCTCCTTTCTTTGGAATCTTGATGAGGTGTCCTTCTTTTCAATCCATCGGCACTTGTTCCTCCTCCCAAATCTTCTTGAATAGAAGATGAAGCATGCTTGTAGTTACTTCGATGTCTGACTTCAACGCTTCAGCTGGTATATTGTCAGGTCCTGCTGCTTTCCCGCTCTTGATTTGTCTGACGGCCATTCTGATTTCTTCTGTCGTTGGTGGATTGACATTTATAGGAAGATCTGTGTGTGCTGCTTCGATGTCCGGTGGATTCATTGGAGCCAGCCTGTTCAGGAGTTCCTCGAAGTACTCTGCCCATCTGTTGCGCTGTTGTTGAATCTCAGTGATTGGTCTTCCTTCTTTGTCTTTGACTGGTCTCTCTGGTTTACTGTATTTCCCTGCAAGCTTCTTCGTCGTATCGTAAAGCTGTCTCATATTTCCTTCTCTTGCAGCTTTTTCCGCCGTCGTTGCTAGTTCTTCCACGTATTTTTGCTTATCAGCTCTAATGCTCTTCTTCACTTTCTTGTTTGGTTCTATGTACTCTGCTTGTGCTTGGACTTTCTCTGCTCTTGTTCGACTGTTGTTAATTGCTGTCTTCTTGTTCTTTCTTTCTTTGATCCTGTCCAGTGTTTCTGTAGAGATCCATTCCTTGTGATGATGCTTCTTGGGGCCCAGAACCTCTTGACACGTTGAAGTTAATGTTTCTTTGATACCTTTCCAGCTATCCTCCATAGTAGTTTCTTCTTCCTTCAGTAGATCCTGTAAGGCTTGGAACCTGTTGTTGAGAGCTACCTTGAATTCATTGAGTTTGTCAGTATCTCGAAGGAAGGCTGTATTGAACCTTTGTGATGCTGTTTGTCCAGTTGTCCAGTTCTTCTTTAGCTTCAGTTTCAATTTGGCCACAACTAGGTGATGATCTGAAGCTATGTCCGCTCCTCTCCTGGTTTTCACATCTTCCATTGTCCTTCGGAACTTTTTATTGATGCAAATGTGATCTATCTGGTTCTCTGTGATGTGGTCCGGTGAGATCCACGTAGCTTTGTGTATACGTTTGTGTGGAAATGTTGTACCGCCTATGACCAATTTATTGAATGCACACAGATTTGCAAATCTTTCCCCGTTTTCGTTTCTCTCTCCCAGTCCATGTAGTCCCATGATGTCTTCATATCCGGTGTTGTTTATTCCGACTTTGGCGTTTAGATCTCCCATCAGAATGGTGAGGTCCTTTCTTGGGCACTTCTCTATGATTGATTGCAGCCTCTCATAGAATTGATCCTTAACGTCGTCGTTACTATCATTGGTGGGTGCATAACATTGGATAATGTTCATTGTGATACCCTCCTTCTTTGTTTTGAATGATGCTTTGATGATTCTGGATCCGTGAGATTCCCATCCTACAAGTGCATTTCGTGCTACTTTGGACAGCATTAGAGCAACTCCCTGAGTGTGTGGAGCATTTTCCTCTTTGTGACCGGAGTATAGCAACATCTCTCCCGTATTTAGCCTTTGTTGTCCAGCTTGGATCCAATGGGTTTCACTGATTCCCAGTACTGCCAAGTTGTATCTCCTCATTTCCGTTGCTATTTGACTGGTCTTCCCGGTCTCCCACATTGTCCGGACGTTCCATGTACCTATAAAAATTGTTGCTCTGGTTGTTAGGAGGGGCATCGGCCTCGTGGCTTCCGAAGGAACTCGGCTTTCACCATGAAGCGTCATATTACCTCTAACTCCCAGGGCAGAGTTTAAATGGTTTGAGTTATTTTTTCTGGTTAGCGTTTGTTTTAGCGAGTTAGGTTTCTACGGGATGGGGACGCTAACCCCATGCCCAACCCTCCTCCTTTACCCGGGCTTGGGACCGGCAGTAACTCTGGAAGAACTACAGGCGGAGTTATTACTTTGTTTTACTTTCTGGAATTTTTGCAGCATTGAGTTATGGTAATAACAGTTGTCAGGTTGATTAACATACGAAGTATAAGAATAGTTGAGAAGATATTTCAAAACAAATGGTTTACAATGCTTCATTTTGAATATATATATATATATAATACAACAACAGTATTCTAATAACAGAACTGACGCAAAACACTATAAGTTGAATGAAAGTGTCTGTTAACCACTGTTGTGTAAACTTATATGTAGTATTCATTTATAAATATTTTCAACCCCAAGGTGAATTAAATAGAATTTACTTACATTTCATACTGGTAAACTATGTACTTCATTCCAAAAAATAAACAAACAAAGTTATATGTTAAATAATTGAAAAAAACAGACAACAATCCCTCCCCCTTGAAAATTGATTTTATTTCAGTTGGCATTCATTTTTGAATTCATGAAGGCATTGTTACTTGTAATGAGAATTGAATTTACGTCAGTCAGTATATTAGTCTTTCAGATAACCGAAAAGTCATTTCCGTCTACATTATATTATCTTTAAGGATTTGATACCTAACTTGAATATATTAACTGAATATAGTTTACATAAACTTTATTCTTTTTAGAATTTGCATAAACTGACTGTTCTTTTGAAGATTTTTATGAAATTTAACAATCAGGTCTTTATAATAAAAAAGAATAACGGACGATTTCACTCAGTTTCACTTTGATTAAATGAAAGTTCAGATAAGATGGTGGTTGGAGGTAGACAACCAGAAACCCTTGACCCGATTTTCGTGCTACTTGTCACTCGTCAGCAAGGTGTACCTGTAATCTTGAGGGAACTGGTGCACCCCGCTACCGACCTCCTGTAGGACTGAGATTGATTGACCACTAGTTGGTAATCAATGTCATGTGCGTCAAGTCCTTCTTAGTGCAAATCGAATGCTATCAACCAAGTTGCAATGTGGCCACTGTTCCAGGTGACTCGACATTGCGTGCACTATGTTGAGATAAAATGGTGGGAGTTGGAAAACCCTTATTTCAATTTTGTACATGGAATCCATGTTCATGTTTGAATGAATGGCATTTGAACATAGTTCTGACTCAAGGATTGTACCTATTTACGTTGATCCACTGCTTTGTGATAAAGACCCTTGGTTTAAAAAGTTATCTTCCAGAACAACAATCTGATTCGTTCGAAGTGTCTAAGCACTTGCCCAACCAACAAAAAGGAAGATACAGTACACCTATACTAACTTTAATGAGTACAATGTTTACAATGGAGAATAATATTTTAATGACATGAATTTTATTTTAGAATCACCTCCCTACCATTCACATATACTCTTTTCTCACCAATTAAAAGTGTAATTTTAACTGGCCTACTATCGTATTCACCCCGTCTCATACGAAACTTATCAGGCGTGTTACGATGGTTTAGATTAAGTAATCACTGATTTTTTCAGCGACCTTCACGATGATAATGGCATGTGCAAAAGTTAGTGAAAGAGAGCTCATATTAATAAAGTTGATCATTGAAAGAGAAAATAACATTTTTATTGGTGTGAAATATGTTCGATTTAACCTCTGACTTCTTTGCCTTGAGATCAGTCATAAAGTATTTTTTCAAAACTCATAATGAAGAATCTACCTTTAACAAATGCTTCAATTTTTCGAATTTTGTAGCAAATTGTCATTTTTGTTACCCTAGTCATGTTGTCTCTCACGTCTATTACGAACAGCTATGATACAATCTATAAAATGAGATGTATTGTCTGTATTGGATTCCTAAAAGACCGAGAGTTTCTTAAACAACATCAGGTGACCTAAAATGTAGATGTTATAAACTTAATTACGGTTATGTGTTTGTAATGAAAATGTAATGATATACAAAATAAATTTATATTTCTTAAATCGATTGAATGAAGTACAACAAAGTTATCTGTTCTATCTGAGTTCATGTATATAACGGATATTCCAACAATCAGTGAACCGTCAACAACGTTTTGTGAAAGACGAAACTTTCAGTTTGTAGATCTGTCATTTGGTAGCGCTAGCTCTCGTACCAGTCGCAAATATCATAACTACATTTGATAGTCTGATGAAGTTACCACACTACATCTATATTTAAAATGATGTTATCCTGTTTTGATATATTGTATTAAATCAGTTAATATATTACTGAAATTAAGAAATCGCCGTATTTATCTGATTTATCAATGTGCCGTAATCCGAATTTCCAGTGTTTATGTCGCTTATCTACCTTACCTGTTATTCCACTTAGTCTGTCGGAAAATATGAACATGAATACATAATTTCAAGGACCAAAATACGGTTGTGTAATTCTCGTTAAGTAACAGAAAAATAATAAGATAAAACAAAATGTATGACAGATAATCATTCACTTAAGGAGTATGAGAAAGATGAAGAATGAGTTAAACACATGTAAGTGGTAATAACAAACCACTAAAAATTACAAACATTAAGATAAAGTATCAATAACTAGTTGATTGTGTGTAAAAAATTACGAATTAGAGTTATAGTATAATAACAACTTGCATGTGACTCTGAGATTTTAACTGCTGACTTTCTATCGCCTCTTCAACAAAATCATCTAAAAGCCTAATTTTACAATGTGCTAGGATTTTTAACTTCAAGCTAACTAATCTGGAACGTTGGATGGTGGCTAGCAGGGGAATCCAGGACGCGTGTTTTGCTCTATTTGGGAAAATGCCAGTTGGATATACCTGCATCCCAGAATTAATGTTCACTCAGGGACTCGAACTCAGAACACACATATGCCAACAAGAGACTGACCAATTGCAATCCTAGACAACACTGGGAAGATACAAGCAAATGATGCCAAGTGAATTTAATCTGTAAATGTGTTTCGACATTTTTGTCTGTCAAACGTTAATTTGAGTCTGGTTTTAAGTGGAATAAAAAATAATCTGAATTATATACACTCATAGTTAGTAATCCTAAACAATGACAGGTCAACAAGAACCAATGAACATAGAGGTGTACAAGACAAGCTTTGAACCACATGTGGAGAAATCCGAACATTTCACTTCTACCTGAAGTTTGTGCTGATAGTGTCGTTCAAAAGGACGATGAAAGCTCCACGACTAAACCATCCAGTTCAGAGAACAAAACTATCAAAATGATAATAAGTGCATGAGGTTCACTTAATATGTTTCGGGGGTTTATCTAAATAATATTAAATAAAACACAGTCATTTGACTCTTGTTATCACGGTCATCAACAATCGACTTTAATAAGTCTCTCTAAAGAGCAAAAGTACTATGTTTTGCGAGAATGCATTTAAGAACGATGCCAAGTACAACTTGTTAATTTGAAATAAAGGCGATTTTATTCGCCCTTATCACTTTAAGTATTTCAAATATGAATGAGTATTTATCTGAAATTATGATTAGAATAGGGTTTGCGGAGATTGTAGTAATTTTAATGGTTGAATTTATGAGTCGATGTAAGCTAGATCACCATGAAAATCTTGAAAGCAGTGGACGGCCGTTTCGTCATAGTATGGGACTCCTCAGCAATGCGCGTCAAAGATCCCGCACGCATGATTCGAACCTGTGACCTTCGGTCTCTCATGCAAACGTCTAACCTATAGACGATTGACCCGGAGTACTGCCAAGGAGTCTCATACTGGGACAAAACGGCCATCAAGTGCTTTCAGGTGTCAATAGTGGTCAAGCTTACATCGACTCATAAGTTCGACTATTAAAATTACTACGATCTCCACAAACACCATTCCGATAATCATCATTATGTACATAATAGTGACTGGGATCAAGATGATTTCCTGGAGTTCTAGTGAGAAGCTGTGACTAGTGGAGTCCAAACGGTGTTGGGTTGAGACATGTATCTACCTCAGACAATAGATGAATGGTTGCGCAGCTATTCATAAATCGATGGAAGTATAGATACTAACACTGTTGGATGCCGGTTCAGTGGTCTAAAGGTTAAGCGTCCGCATGCGAGACCGAAGGTCCTGGGTTGGAATTACGCGGGCGTAATCATGGATGCCCACTGCTGAATATTCCCATACTAGGACGATTTGACCGTCCAGTGCTTTCAGGTTTCCAACGATGGTCTAACATCAATTGGTTCATGATCTCATTCAAAATACTAAAATATTTATCTGAAAACTTAAATGAGTATATATTATTTGTTTGTTACTTTTTGATTTGAGATAATTCATCAGCTGATTTCCGTTCATGAAGGATACTACTGGTTATTCGATATTACTTGCAAACCTACGATAGTTTCTTTCGCCCTATCGATCATGATCCATCCATTTAATTATAAAGAATAAATCTTGATAAAGATATATGTGTAGGACAGACATATCTAATGAGGAGAAAAAAGACACATTCATTATATGAATGTCTATCCTACGTATAATTCATTGATAGTTTACTTTATTTTTACAAGGTTACGGAATTTTACTGATTGTCACATGGGTGTTGACCACTAAACTTGTATCCTCACTGATTTGTGATTGGTCAATTATTTGGGACATTTGACCTTGTAATGATTATTATTAGATATAATAGATACATTTTTAGTAAATTATTAATGAAGTTATTATGTATCTGAGTGTTTAGATTTCACCTTTTTTTTGAATTTTCACTTCTAATATTCGATATTGTACATTTTTTTTAAAAAAAAAAAGAAGAGGAAATTCAATTGTGATGACTAATAAAAGAAAACGATTTAAACCAATATGGTCAACATGTTTTTGTATGAATACTCATTTTGGTTTATTTAAAGAAACTAATAAAAAATTAGCTTATTTCATTGAAAAAGGTAATCTATCAGAAATTGAATATATTTTAAAACAAATAAAACAACCATTAAATAATTTTACATTAATAGTAAAACGAAATCAATTTAATACATTTTATCCATATTTAATAAATTATCAAAAAAATGAATTAATTAATTTTTATCAAGAATGTTCACCAGTTCTATGGGCTATAGATTGTTTACAATGGAATGTTATACCATTATTATCATATTATGGTTTTAATATAAATTGTCCACAAATATGTCGTCGTTGGACATGTATATATAAATTAAAATCAAAATCAAATAATATATTACCATATCGTAAATTTTGGACAAAAGGTCATTATACATATCAATCAGCATTAGATTATTATTTTGCTAATATTTATGAATTAATTAATGAAAATATATTAAATTATAATAATAATATAAATTTATTAACATTTTATTATTCACATTTATCTAATTTATTAACAAAAGGTATTGATGTACATCGTATTGATTCAATCATTATATTTAATTTATTAGCTATTAGTTTTAATCAATATTTATATCAATATATTACTATGAATCATAATTTAATAATATTAAAAAATAATCAATCATTTATTGAATTATTAATTATTAAAAAATTAATAAAAAATGGTTATTCACAATTTGAATGTATGGATTATTTATATTCATATTGTAATTGGTTTTGTATATTATTATGTTTATTATGTTATCCTAATATTGATTTATATCATAATAATAATAATAATAATAATAATATACCTAAAATGATAAAACAATCTACATTATTATTAATTAATTTACTTGTATTAAAATGTACTTTACCAACTATGGAAGATTTTAATGAATTTATTGAAAATTTACCATTATATAAAATATATATAAAAGATTATAATAATAAATATAATGAATTTAATAAACATTTAATACAATTATATCAATTATGTAATGAATTTATAAAAAAACCATTAAGTTTAAAATTATTAACAAGAAATAAAATAAGAAAATCTATTGGTGGTATTAATTTTGAACAAAAAATCAATAATATTAATTTACCAAAACAATTAATTACATTTATACAATATATTAATTATGAACAATTAATTAATAATAATATACCTATAGAATTTATTAAATTAGCAAAAGGTGAATGGATTAATAATATTCAATCAACAATAGATTGTAATAATAATAATACTACTAATAATAATAATAAATTGGAAGAATCTATAAATCTATTACATCGATCTAATGATTTAAATAAAATCAATAATAATCATTATAATGATGAACAATTATCTATAAATAATATTTTACAACGTGGTAGAGCATCAGAACGTCAACATATTAATATTTATCAAAGAAGAATAAATAAGAATCAAAATTATAAAAAACCGTTAAGGCCTACATCTGCTCCATTACTTAGAACATTTGTTATATAAGAAAAAAATTTTATCTTCTATTTAAAAATTATATTTATCTCAGGGATTATAACAAAAAAATATATAATTGAGTACTAATCGTTCAATAATTTTATTTATATTCTTGTTACCCTTCCCCTCCCTGTTTATTGTTTATAAAGATTTGAAATTACTGTCAGAAGAGGTTTTGTGAAGATTGTAGTAATTTCAATAGTTGAAATAATGAATCAATTGAAGTCAGACCATCATGGAAAACCTGGAAGTACTGGACAGTCGTTTCGTCCTAGTATAAGACTACTCAGCAGTGCGCATCCACGATCCAATGGTTTGGTTGAAGTTAGACAATAATACCGTTGGATGACGGCCGGCTCAGTGGTCTAATGTTTAAGTGCTCATGCGCGAGACTAGTAGATCCTAGGTTCGAATCTTGTGGAGAGAGGCGGGATTGTGGATGCGCACTAACACGGAGAGGTGTCCTACAATAGGACGAAATGGCCGCCCAGTGCTTCCAGATTCCCAACGGTGGTTTAACTTCAAGTGACTCATGATTTCAACTATTGAAATTTAAAATTATTGTTTTGTTATATTATTCATTTGATTATTAATCAAATTAGGTGTACAGAAAGTTCTAACTTTACCATATTATTGTTATTTGATGTTGTTATTCTTTTTATCTTTGTTGTTGTTGTTTTGTTCGAATTATTAGTTTATTATTTCTATTTATTGTGCATTGATGACTTCGTTTTTTGTTGTTGGTATTTTTAGTACACAAATTAAAACTATAATACAATTGATGATCATTCCTGTTATACTTAAACTTTAGAACTTATAAAAACACTTCATGAATTATTGACTGGTTAAATACTTATTTATATTGTTAATTATACATAAATATTACCAAAGTCAGGAGAGGGTGGGTTTTTCTTATTACATTATTCTATTTGTTTTTGAGGAAGAAAACCTTTTTTTTATAGAAATTCTTTAATAACCTTAAGTATAATCTTTTACAAAATCAATTCGTATGTTAATCTTCTGTTTATTTTGTGACCAATTTTGTTTGAATGATAATTTATCAAATATCAAAAGTTATGTTCAATGATTGATTTCAATTATTGATTTTAATCATTTGGCATTTCATTATTTATTGTTTATGTTTACTTTTTTCCAAGAATATTTGTTTGTTTACTTATTAGTATGCATGTGTGTATGTACGTAGGTATGTATGTATACGTTGATCACTTGTAAATATAAACATCAAATTACACATATAGAAAATTTATACTTAAAGAAGATTCAATAAAATTGAATAATATTTCCTTATATAATAATAAATATATATTATTTAATTAGTTACTTACTTACTTACGCCTGTTAGAAGAGAAAATCTATGAAAAAAATCAATAAAACAATACATTTTAGAAATTGTTTATTATCTATTGATTTTCTGTTTGTTTATTTATTGATTATTTTTAGAGAATAAAATTTGAAAAAATAAACAAACTCCCTATTTGATCATTGCCTTTTTTCATTTCTCTCTCTCCCTCTCTCTCTCTCTCTCTCTCTCTCTCTCTATATATATATATATATATATATATATATATATATATATATATATATATATATAATTGTATTGTCTCCTAGTCATATTAATATATAAATTGAATGTAAAGAATATTCTGAATTAATAATGTATTATATATATAAACAATATTATATAGATAATCGATAGGTTATTTATTAAATTGACTGTAAGATTCTGAATGTTATCCAAGTGTTATATAAATTAGAAATTGGTCAATGAACTGTAATTTATCAAACCAAGCTATTCAGTTACCTATTCTCATACTTTAAAGCATATTTCTTGTAAATACAACCTATAATTTATAAACAAAGATGGATAATGGCCAGCAGTGGAATTCAGTTTGACGCGCGTTTCATCCTATTTGGGACTCGTCAGCTGGATGTGCCTGCATTTCAGAGTTGATGTTCACTCTGGGACTTAAACCCAGTACCGTTCATTTCAAATAGGATGAAACGCGCGTCCTAGATTCCATCGCTAGCCATTATCCATCTTTGTTTATGATGTTAGTGAATTAAGACAATATCGAGGCAATATGCACAGGATGCACATATACCAATAAGCGACTGATCAGTCCTTAATTTCAATGGGAATATTCAAATAAAGAATACCAAGTGAATTCAACCTATAACTTGTTTAAAGAATTAGTGATGACTAATCTTTACTGCATAAAAGATTAACAAAGATACTCCTAGGTAAATTAATTATCCGGTATGCAATAGTGTATGCTACTTTGATATTATATCATCTTTCGAGAATATAATGTATGCAGGACAGTTATTTAAATATTTCATTGTTCTCCAGTTGTTTAAAGTATTCCTTGATGAAATTTAAGTTTTCGTGTATACTTTTGGATAGGTTTAAAGGTAGGTATATGATAGATAATGAGCAAAAATCATTTCGAAGAAACGTTTCTGTCAGATAAGCTGTACACTACTAAATTGTAAAAAGTAACTCAGTCTTCTTTATAATAAACTGACCGAATCGCTCTAAATAAACAGACTTATCTTTTAATTTGATCAGACATATATAAAACAATTTAAATCCATCTAAATTTCTTTTGACTTGTAGTGATCATTAAACAAAAAGAAAATGGATATTTCTGAAAATGACCTAGTCTTCAGTTAGCTAGTAAATCTATCTAACATACTCCCACCAGCTGATTGGTATTGACCGCATTATTACTGTAAAACATAAATGTTAGGAGAACTCAAAAAGAACTTCAGAAATCATTTAATTTGATCAATCAACATTCTACAGAAACTTTGAAGATAATTCTAAAACTCAAAAAATATATTTTCATTGTTCAGATTGGACAATGACTGGATTTCTTTTCAATTTTAACATGATCACCAGAGATATCTTGAATCTCAAGGTCACACCGTTATATCCGAATGAAGAATAATTGCTAAGAATTATTTATGGACTCTTATTAAATATATTCTTATTGGATAATTATTAAGTAACCGGATTGAACAAACATTCATATTCCTTTAATCATAAGCTTTCATGTGACTTGTTGGCCGCTATTATAAAACACACCATTCTTAACGTATTACCACTTTGTTAGTGATAGTATTCCACACTCACAACTGCTTTTGACCTGATCTTGTACAGTTATTATTGTTAATTTTATAGTACAATGCAGCCTGGTTTCCTTGTGTATAAATTAAGTGTATCTGAAATATAAGATTCATACAGTGGAGGCTGATATTAACGTTCTGGACTGAACCGGGTTGGGTTAGGCAAGAAGCTATTATACAGAGGACCAATAAAGACTGAGAGTTGACTCAAGGCTGGTCGTGCGCATCATTGGTTTAGCGCAGGGACATGTTCACATAAGTCGGTGTTCTGATTGGTGATTTTGTCACGTGATAGTTGACAGAGCCTTTGGACATAAGACACAAATTATCTTTCTTAATAATATTAAAAGCTAACTGAAATCCAGCAGCGTGTCATGGTGGGACTAATGGAAATTAAGTTAGTGTAAAAAAATAGCATTTCCGTCTGCAGCCCTGTATAGTTACTGTCGCCCCAACTCTGGATGGAAGAGGACTGTCGGTCCCCGAATACCCTGGCACGGCCGAGAGTGGGAAGAGTTCGCTCTCCCTCTTCAAATGTTCGCACATGGCCACGAGTATATAGCCTCTGCCAGGAAAGTCCTACTCACTGCCTTCTCGTGGCGGGGGAGTTATTCACGAAATTGAGAGGATGAAAAGCGAATGTCCGGCACTTTAACCGGATCGGTGGACATGGAGAGTCCACTTAGGGGAGTTGGAAAACCTTCATTCCAAACCAATGGTGCACATGGGCTCAAGTATCCTGAAGGAACAAATGGCATATGAACCAATCGTTGGTCACTGGCTACCATGGGACTGCATCTCTTTACGATGCTCCACTGCCTTGTGGATTAGATCTTCAGGTCGAAGGCTCGGGCTGTGGTTCCTTAAGAAAACCACCTGCTTCGGTTTGGGCACCCGGGTAGTATCACAGCCCTCGCACAAATCAAATGAGATTTGTGTGGCGCATATGTATTTGATGCCTCATTGTACCAATATCTATGTGTTCAAATAAAACAAAGAGAATAAAGAACACAAAAGAATTCAAAGTCACACCTACAGACAATCCTATGGATGCTACAGCACCAACAATAAAAAGAATCAGCAAGATCATTTGACAAATTAGGAATGCTGCAGTACCAGAACCAGAAACCACACCAATTTAATCAATCAATTCAGATATAATGGCAACTACGAAAATGTACCTCTCACTTTAGAAATGCTTAAGTTGGAGAACAAGTCTGGGAAGAAGGGCACGTCATCAAGACACCGATGAAAGGAGATCTCTGTATCTGTGAGAACTACATAATCACAGAGGCATCACAACACCATTAGTATCAGGCAAACGTTTCAACAGTGTTACTGAAATGAGTGGAAATTGTAGTGCACACTCGACATTGGAATCAACAAACTGACAACGGTTAAAACGAATTGGAAATCGGCAAAATTATTACATAACTGGAAAATAATTAAGTAACCTACAAATTTAAATGGCATTAAAAACCAAGTTAAATAAATTTTCAAATCATTTCTATTCATCTTGTCATTTCTTAATGCAGTTAACATCTATAATCATTGATAGAAATATCAAGATTGAACCCGTGACATTTTTCAAGATATGAACGTATCCATATAACTGATAAATAATTAATCAGGTTATATGTGTTAATATTATAGGAATATAGTACATTTTAGCTTACAATATCATCACATAAACGCATGCATTAGCCTACATTTAATATTCTCTCTAATTAACATAAATCAACAAGGTTATCAACTAACACAATGTTAGATTGTTTCAGATAAACATGTATACACTGTTAACTAAAATCAATGATATTCTACTACTTCATTTAACTCTATACACCCGCAACAGCCTACAGTGGGAAAGAATAAATCAGCTTACATTACGGAAATCACCAAACTGCATCACAAAGCAAGTCCCAACTTGGAATCATGAAGGGAAGTGGAAAAGAGGAAGGCCAAAGAATACATTACGTAGGAAAATAGAAGCTGACACGAAAAAGATGAATAACAAGTGGAAAGGATTGAATAGAGAGTGCTGATAGGCAGCCTATGCTCCTCCACGAGGTGTAACAGGCGTAAGTAAGCGAGTAAGTAACTTGCTATGGATATCAACACACTATAAGGCTAAACAGTGATTGAAAATAGATTTTTCAAAGCTTTCTGTATATTAAATTTAAAAGGAATCAATGAGAAGTATAATACGATTCTAAATTCGCGAGATTAATTAATTTGGAGCCATATCACTTTAAGTTTTCAATTGTGCACTACGTTATTCCATATATTTGAACGAAAAAATACGGACATGACAACCAGGATTTATCCAAATAACCAATGATTTCATATATTGCTTTTGTTCTGACTTTAAGGCCGGCTAATTATAACGTCTTTTATTCACCTAGCCCGATCCAGTTGAGTTCAGAACACCAATATCAGCTTCCACTATCATTTATTTCAAACATACTTGGTTTGTATACCAGTCAAACAAACAGCATAGAACCATAAAATAGGAAATAACATTTATACAAGATCAAGTCATAAAGTGGCTTTGAATGTGGGAGACGGTATTCAATAAACTGAGTATAACTTAAGAACAGTAAATGGTATAATAATAGTCTATAAGCTAAATGAAAGCTTATAATAAGAGGAATATAGATATACATAATCTAGTTACTGAAAAGTCATACAATAAGAATATATATATATATATATATATATATATATAATATTGGTTCATTAATAGTTCCTGGAAGTTACTCGTCATTAAATCTTCACTAGGATATGACAGACATCATGTCGTTGATTGCACCTACAATTATTCCGGCCAGCACTGCATCTTAAAAGAAAGACTCGTAACCCATATTTTAATTTAAAAAAACTAATTATGTATGAAATTAAACTTCAGTAATCCAATGAGCGTTTTCTTCCTCTTCTGACAAACAGAGAGTAATGTGCCTACTCTGGATTTTAAGTTATACTGTTACATCGTTGGAATAATTTTATTAAAGAATTGATTCGACCTTTGAGTCAATTAGCACACATCATTCGTTTCGACTATAGTTTTGAATTGGTTACGAGTGAGTCTTATTTGTGGTAAATCACAATTTATTTTAGTCAACAGGACGAGTGTCCACTGAAATGCCCTCAAATCAACAAGATATAAAGTATAACTGGTGAAGTGTATTATGTTGTAGAGACCCAGAAAATTCGTCGAAAACAGTTCAAATGAGCCTTGAATTCACTGAGAAACATTGTATCCAGTCAACATTGAATAGAAAGTTAAGACTCACGCGTCACATTTCTGGTTGCCTATTCTGTTGTAGTGAACAGAACACCAATGGGAACAATCGAATGTATTTAGGCACATAATTACAGAGCATCTCAATA